TATATATATATATATATATATATATATATATATATATATATATTGTATTGTACTATATATATTTAGTATAAATATTGTGTGTGTATATATATATATATATCTGCCTTGGGGCTTATGTCTCGGACCGCCTCAAGGCTTACGTCTCGCCTCGCCTAGCCTAAACGAAAACGCCTCGAGGCTCGATTCCGTTTTTTAAAACCTTGCTTGCACCCGACGGTGGCTTACGACTCGGTATTCTTCCTCGAATCTCATCCAGGTTTTGGTTTAACCCAAGAAAGAACTTGTAGATTCGTTCTTTATCTTGGATCTCTGTGTATTGTTTTTGGTCAAGGGCATAACTCCACAATACGTCATCGACGAAGTCTAATTGTTGCCAATAGTGAATCTGCAGGTTGAAGTGTTTTGTGACGGTTCGTTCTTCTAGCATAGACCATACGGTACTTCTTTGATTTCAAAGATTGCTAAAGGCGTTATCTTTGTTGGAGTATGTCTCGGGCTACTTCCTGTATCTCCTTGGCTATCTTGTAGTGCATGAAATTCTCACCAGTTCCATTCATCCTTGAGATCAAGAGCAATGACATTGCCATGTTGTTCTCTGTCTTCCGTGTTTGATAGTTCAAACTATCTTCTGTTGGTGTTGGGGCTTCTGGTGGTCTTCTTTCGCTTTACTGCTTACGAAGATCATCACAGAGTGCGACCATTGATTGGAATTGTGGCCGGTGATTGGGATAATCCTGCCTTCCATTAGAATGGGTTTTGTGTTAGACATCGGAGATTGTCTCTTAGTTGTGCCGTAAGAGTCGCTTTGAGTTTCACTCAACATGGTTTTCTTAGTGTATTTAGTCGTTGATCGCGGATGACTTGAGGACGAAGAGTCGGATCCAGACAGCTTTGATCACATATAGAAATTATGAACAAGGGAAAGTAGTTTCTCACTTTATTTTCATTCATCAAAGCATAAAGGGGCAACTGTATACAAGAGTAGAACTACCGGTCCTTTATTCTAGGAAATTGTAAACAACTTTATCCTACTAACAAAGGGATAAGATTTTCCACATAACGTAATGGTAATTTTTTGGTGTTCTTGACCTTGTTTGAAATGCTATGTAGGGGCGAGGCTTGGAGCCGCTTGTAAAGTGATCCATTTGTCACACTAAGTCGTGGGTTTAGTCATGGAAACATGCTTTTCAGAAAAAGTGTGGCAAATGCTTTTATGAAGATTTCCCTCGCTAAGCCCATGCAAAGCTGATGAGTTTGGTACACTAGGGTCATCTGTTGGGAAATGAGGACGACAGGACCTCAGGCATGGACAAGCGCAGGGAGGGACAAGCCTTGACCAAACGCAGAGAAAAGAAACTCAACCAAAGACGGTGTGGTAGCAGCCCCCGTACAAAGTGGCAAGCAATCAGAACAGCAAGAGACAAATACAATACAAACTGAAAAAAGATCTAAGAGCAGTCACCTGTTGTAGACTGCTCTTTGTACTTCTAGGCCTGATCTCTAGTTTTGGGTTTTGATATTCTTGATATTGGGAGTTTGAGTTGTAACTTAACCTGATATCGTATGATTTTCTTCTTACTAAGCGTCCAAGTTTTTTTTTCCCCGAGTAAAACTGGATGTTGGGAATTTTAGTTATCGTTGAAGCTGTCTACCAGATTTTGTTAGTTCTAATAGAACAATGATTTGTCACAGTAACAGCCTCTCTTAGAGGCAAGGTTTGCGTACATCCTACCCCCAGATCCTAACTCCAGATCCTAACTCTGTGTGGGATATGCTTGGTTCTTTTAGGTTTAATTGAACTTGATTCACATATTTTTATTTTCATTTTTTTACATGATACCATATTTTCGTGCGGTAGTTGTGAATGTGTACAGGTAATAATTGTGTGACTATTGCACTTGTCATGTAGGGACATGTCTTGCGTAATAATTGTTTGCTTGTATTCATCTTTGCAGGGAGGTCCAACATAGAAATGTCGTTCGTTTTATTGGTGCTTGCACAAAACAACCTCACCTGTGCATAATAACAGGTAGCGAACTTCTAGAAGTTGCTGATTATTTATTTGTAGGTAGTTGCAACCAAACATTTCTGTTTTAGCTGCACACAGTTTGGTCTTCAATATTTCAATCTGGATTATATTATTAGATATGGGAGAACTATAGATCTTCATGTCTCATGCTTCCTATGGTCTTTCCGATGTTTGTATACTGCTTTTGGTGATATATGTTCTCAGATAATTTGGCTGTTGTTCAGTGTCCCTATGAGTATGTTTTGGTATTTATTAGCTTCATGGATCTAGTACGAAGCATTGTTAAGGGTGGCAGTAAAGACCATACATTTCCAGTTTAAGTAGGTGGAGTATGCTAATTTATAGATTAATGCGGGGCTCAGGTGTAACCAGAGAGAACCTGTTGAATTCAGTTAACTGCTGAAAGTTTTCATCTCTGATAAAGAGAAGTAAAAAAGAAAGATGATGTAATTTTGATAATTATTATGAGCTGGAATTTTATTTATGAAAATGAGAGAAAAAGAAAGATATATGCTCTTTACTGCCAGCCTTTCGAAAAAGCCTGGGCTCAGGCCAGTCCAAAGAGCCCGATCAGGCAAAGTATTTTTTTCCAAGGCCTGGCTAAAGCCCAGCTAGAAACAGCCCAATTGGGCCCATTTCACGCCCGAGGTCTGGGTCTTTGAGGGCCTGGACTTTTCTTGCTTACAAGAAATTTATTTGGTGTAGGTTGTATTTGTTCCTGGAAAATTTTGCAGTGCACCAATATCTGGTAAACAGACTGAGCAGTAGTTCATTGATCTGACTGATCAATTAATAAGTGGTGAATCAATCGTCTACACATGGATGGAGGCCCCTGGCATTTATATTTCTTTTTATAGCTGTTAGTCATTAATCTTGCTCTTTGACAAATGCAAATTGTTTTTATATGATTTTAATTTGTCCCATATTGCTCTATCTTCAAGTTATAGAGGTCTGTCTCATTTTCTCCATTTAGCAAAAATATACATGGTCGTCTCATCACTTTGTGAGGACATTGCGGCTTCTGTTTCTGCTTGCAGAATACATGCCTGGAGGCAGCCTATATGAATATTTGCATAAGAACCATCGCACCTTGACGCTTCCCCAGTTGGTGCAGTTTGCGATAGATGTTTGTAGAGGAATGGAGTACTTGCATAAGAGCAATATCATTCATAGGGATCTGAAGACTGCAAACTTGCTTATGGACAGTCATAATGTAAGTATTCTGTTTCTATTTACATTTCAAAGCATAGAAGTTCAAAACTAGTCAACAATTATGTGCAAGGATCAAAGGTGACAGAACTTGCTTTAACAAAGATGAATGCTGCTTTTAGTTTTCGTCAGTTCTCATGTGTTGATTTATACATTATCAAAATGGTTACTATGTTCAAGGTTTTGAAGTATGGAAAGGCAAGGGGAGGCGAGGTGTAAGCCCCGAGGCGGTTAACAAATAAATGCGAAAATAATTCATATAATGCAAAATAATAACCCAATATCAAACTATTGAAGTAGTAAAATTACTACAAAAAATAACTCAAAGAATGTTGTGTATATGAAAAAAAAGGACAGATTATACTTATAGACATACACAATAAATAGTCGTAGATTATAATCATATACATACACAAAAAGAAATTGAAACATAACTACAGTAGGCAGAAATATAATATATATTTATATATATATACACATTATTAGTGGGCTAATCATTTGAGAAACCAAAAAGTTGTGATAACCCTGAGAACGAGTGCATCATGTGCTATTCCATATGATTTTTCCCATCTAATGCTAGGATTTAATGTATCTATTAACAAACATTTGTTTCACAATGTGTTTGTTTCACATATTTTGTTCTCAATGTGAAACTTTTTGGCGTAAAGAAAAATACACATAAAAAAAGTTTCATATTGTGAACTGAATACATATATGCAGCAAACGTATTGTGAAATAAGTATATGTTAATCAATATGTTAAATACTAGCCCTAGATGGGAAAAATCGTGTGAAAAATACCTTAAGGTAAAAGTTGTCATAGTTATCACAATATATGGGGTTCTCATTTATTTATGCCCTGTATTAAGATATATATATATATATATATATATATATATAATATACATAATACACACTACAAATATAAGTCGAAACGTAACACATACTAATGCAAACATGAATACAGAAGGTTTAAGCATGAATACAACAGATTTAAAGAAAAAAAGACAAAAAGAAGCAGGTTCAGAGAAAAAAGACAAAAAGAAATACACCACCAACCTAACTTTGAGAATATATATAATAAACAACCAGGTTCAATGAAAATATATAAAAAAAAATATACCACCAACACCAACTTCGAAAATATAATCATTAACAACCAGTTTCAAAGAAAAGAAATACAAAAAATAAGGAGCTATTTGGTTCAGGTAGAGGAATGAAAATGAATATGAATGTTCCCGCTAGTTCAACTCGGAATGATTGGGTTTATGGGGAATGATCCCATTATATTATATGAAACCGAATAGTTTCTTTGATTTTCAATCCTGTTAATTACTGCTTAAAGCCTCTAACCAAACACCCCCTAAAATATGCATACCTGTTCATGTTGGAATGCAGCCAGGTACAACTTTTAATTTGAACATCTATACATATAGAAAAAGTGATAAAAAATAAAATATGCCACGAGACGCACGCCTTTGACAATTTTGACCCTCTCAGTAATTAGTGATGGCAACGGGCAATCAGCGATTCAGGGGATTGCAATCCCCATTTCTGATCCTCACTCCCCATCCTCGTCCCATCCTCATCACAGAATCTGGGATTTTCTCTATTTAACAAAATTTAATTTTTTCTATAGTATCTTCATAAATGCCAATTTCATGTTTAAACAGACTATTCTAAAACTTCAATCAACCAAATTTTGATTTGTACACGAGTAGTTCAAAAATAATATATCAATTAGTATACTTGATGGAAATTTTTTATACATTCATGTTATATCATCAAAAGTTCCTCCACGAACAATCAAATCAATACTGTAATATCTTTTGCAAGTTTTCTCATCATTGAAGATTGAATATACTTATTATATCTATGTGTTATATATGGATTCCTTATCAGTGATATTAGAGTGAACCGTGGTCGTTTTGTGTGGGGGCATAGACCCTATTGGTGATCCTTTGTGATGCAGATGTTTTCACCCTCTTGGCATTCTCATCCACTTGATTTACCTTTTGTGTCATCTCCACAAGGCCAACACCCATCATTTTGTGCATAGTGACGTTCCGCTTTACATGATTGTCAAATGTCAAAATGGCTTAAAATATTGCTCGTTCTTTTGTTGAGTTTTTCATAAAGAGTGAAGCAGATAAACCAAAGTTTAAAAGGGTTGAAGTTTTTGAGGCTGAAGGTGGATTTTGACCATCACTTTTTTGTGTACATCTGGTCATAAATATAAATATATTTATGACGCAAAAGAAGAGTAGGAAATTTTCTATCATCTCTCTCACTTGGAGTTCTTATATTATATCAAAGTAGTAGTCTTCTTTATCCATAGACAGGGAGGGCTCTTGCATTAACCTCTCACATGTTTCTGACTTAATTTGTTAATCTTTAATTTAGGTTGTAAAGGTGGCTGATTTTGGGTTAGCTCGCTTTCAGAATCAAGAGGGAGTTATGACAGCAGAGACAGGAACATATAGATGGATGGCTCCCGAGGTTTGGTTTTCTTGCTCTTGTCATTTTCTGAGCTCTTTTGAGTAGGCTCGGGGATGAAATCGTCTCTGGATTATCCCATCTTGTCAAAGTCCCCTGGATGTGCCTTGTGATAACTTGGTTTGAGACTCATCTTTTGTGAGCAAACTTACGCCTCATTTTCTTCATTTGTTCTCACAATAAACATGGACCCCTAGGGGGAAGAATATGGACATGCTATGGAAGTGTTATTCATCATGGTCCATGGATCACATATTATGAATATTCATGATGACTATGGAAGTGTTATTCATCATAGATCACATATTCATGATGAATAAGGACATGCTATCGACGTGTTATTCATCATGAATCGTGCATTCATGATGAATAACACGTCCATATTCGTGATGAATATGCCAAGTGTCGCTCTGTGGATGGTTCCCAGGTTCTTAATCATATTTAGGTTCCTAATGGAACTTAACCCTGGACCCCTATAATGAGCATATAGCATTATCATTCTTTTGACCTTGTGGCTGGTGAATGGGATGGGGCTACCTTTTGTCTGATGACTCCTTTTCTGTCTTGTGGTGTTTATAGGTTATAAATCATCAACCATATGATCAGAAAGCCGATGTTTTCAGTTTCGCGATTGTTCTGTGGGAGCTTGTGACAGCCAAGGTAATTTGGATCCTTAATGGTGTTATTTAAAAGTATATTTTATATGATTGACTGATATCTATTTCTGTTGTAGATTCCTTATGATAACATGACACCGTTGCAAGCAGCCTTGGGAGTAAGACAGGTCAGTACCTATGTTTATCTAGTGAGATAATTTACAGATCTGGATGCAGCATCTAATGACTTCTGCAAACTAAGATTTTTACCTAAGAAAATAAAACTCGATAAGCATGCAGTAATTTGAAAACATGTTGAGAGAGATCACGGCAACTTATTTCCGTAAGTAGATTTCTTTCGGTATGAATTATGAAAGGCGCATCTGCTAAACTTTGAGGGGTGCTCCGGAATATTAGAAAATACAAGGAACATCAACCAGTAAACCCAAAAAGGTCCCTCGAAATCAACCAAAAAACTTTAAAAATCCATCAAAACTGTGGAATTTGGCTAAAAACACATCGGACGACTTTGTGGGCAGTTGATCCACCTTAAAAGATGCACCCACCCGGCAAAAATCTTGGATCCGCCACTGGAGAGAGACAATGTGAAAGGTTACGTAGGATTTGCTCTCTATAAGAATCGAGGATTCCAGGTTTGAATTTCAGAAAGTACTAGTTTAACATTGAAAGGGATGTGGGTACAAGAAGAAGCATAGTGAAGACTGTAGAAAGAATAATTAATAACTTGGACTTTGTTGAACATAATTTGAAGGACAAGTGAGAAATATTTTTCAATCTGTGTTCAGGGGCGTCGGCCAGATCTTCCCACAAATACACACCCAAAGCTGTTGGAGTTTAATAGAGTTTAACTAAATGCCCGTCTTTCCCCCTCTCTTGTATTGCAATATATAAACATGGATGTTACAAAATAGTCCCTTGGACTATACAAAGAATACCTTCTAGTCTAATAGAGTTGATGCAAAGATGTTGGGAAACTGTTCCTGGCAACCGTCCTTCTTTCTCTGAAATCAAACTTGAACTCGAAAGATTACTCCAGGAGATTCAGGTATGAAAGCTTAGGGCGGTTTGGTTGGTTTTCCATTAAGATATGAATGGATAAAGCTGTCTGTGTGGAGCTAGTTTTTTAATTGGGAGGGGGAGGTGTTGAAAAAACTCGGCTTTCTGCATAAAGCCTATTGCAAACAGTCATGTATAGCTGATTGAATAAGTAGGGAGTCTTATTAAGCGGGTCCTAATACTTGCTTTTGGGGGCGCAGGGGAAAGCAGATGAGGAGTAGAGGAAATTGGAGACGTTAATAGTTAGAAGTGTAGTAGATGATGATAGCAGCAGCAGCAGCAGGGAATACGAGTGTACAGAGGTAGGTGCCCTGTCGAGAAAGCTTGTAATAGAATGATAGTAGTAATGATTGATAATACAATACTCGAATACCTTTTCCTATAAACTAAATATTATAATGAATGGGTATAGTTTTGGAGCTTCATTTGATGTTTACATCTTCATCCTAATGTTTTGAGAACCTGTATATTGTATTCATTTGAAACAATCAATATACATAGGGATTGATTGATTTGAGAACTACAAAAAATTCAAGAATTGCATGTTTTGGCGTATCTATGCATTAATATATATATATATATATATATAGAGAGAGAGAGAGAGAGAGAGAGAAATTGAATTTGAAACCAGTTTTCGGTGGCACGTGTCCCCGGTGTCAACAATCAGTACGAGTCGAAGGGGACGTTCATGAACTATTCATGATGAATGTGTGTGTGTGTGAGAGAGAGAGAGGGGTTGAATTTGAAACCGATTTTTGGTGGCACGTGTTCCTGGTGTCAACATTCAAGGTGAACGTTCATGAATTATTTGATGAATATATACGATTATGATTCATGTTAAATTGATTCATTATTGCAAGATAAATAATACACATTTATCATGAATGATGAATAATCCTTGGAGGTGTGACATATGTTGCATTCTTCTTTGCCTCCAGGTTTATAACCGAAAATCGGTTTTCATTTGAACCTGCCAATGTGTGTGTGTGTGTGTGTATATATAGAGAGAGAGAGAGGGGGGGGGGGGG